GGGATGCAGTGAAAGCAGTTCTAAGAGGGAAGTTTATAGCAAAACAATCCTACCTCAAAAAACAAGAAAAATTTCGAAGAAACAATCTAATCTTACACCTAAAGGAACTAGTGAAAGAAGAACAAACAAAACCCAAAGTCAGTACAAGGAAAGAAATCATAAAGATCAGAGCAGAAATAAATGAAATAGAAACAAAGAAAAGAACAGCAAAGATCAATAAAACTAAAAGCTGGTTCTTTGAGAAGATAAACAAAATTGATAAACCTTTAGCCAGACTCATCAAGAAAAAGAGGGAGAGGACTCAAATCAATAAAATTAGAAATGAAAAAGGAGAAGTTACAATGGACACCACAGAAATACAAAGCATCATAAGAGACTACTACAAGCAACTCTATGCCAATAAAATGGACCACCTGGAAGAAATGAACAAATTCTTAGAAAGGTATAAAGTTCCAAGACTGAACCAGGAAGAAATAGAAAATATGAACAGACCAATCACAAGTAATGAATTTGAAACTGTGGTTAAAAACCTTTCAAGAAACAAAAGTCCAGGACCAGATGGCTTCACAGGTGAACTCTATCAAACATTTAGAGAGGAGCTAACACCCATCCTTCTCAAACTCTTCCAAAAAATTGCAGAGGAAGAAACAGTCCCAAACTCATTCTATGAGGCCACCTTCACCCTGATACCAAAACAAGACGAAGATACTATAAAAAACATTACAGACCAATACCATTGATGAATATAGATGCAAAAATCCTCAACAAAATACTAGCAAACAGAATCCAACAACACATTAAAAGGATCATACACCACGATCAAGTGGGGTTTATCTCAGGGATGCAAGGATTCTTCAATATATGCAAATCAATCAGTGTGATACACCACATTAACAAATTGAAGAATAAAAACCATATGATCATCTCAATAGATGCAGAAAAAGCTTCTGACAAAATTCAACACGAATTTATGATAAAAACTCTCCAGAAAGTGGGCATAGAGGGAACCAACCTCAACATAATAAAGGCCATATATGACAAACCCACAGCAAATATCATTCTCAATGGTGAAAAACTAAAAGCATTTCCTCTAATATCAGGAGCAAGACAAGGATGTCCACTCTCACCGCTAATATTCAACGTAGTTTTGGAAGTTCTAGGCACAGCAATCAGAGAAGAAAAAGAAATAAAAGGTATAGAAATTGGAAAAGAAGAAGTAAAACTGTCCCTGTTTGCAGATGACATAATACTACACACAGATAATCCAAAAGGTGCTACCAGAAAACTACTAGAACTAATCAATGAATTTGGTAAAGTTGCAAGATAAAAAATTTATGCACAGAAATCTCTTGCATTCCTATACACTAACAACAAAAGATCAGAAGGAGAAATTAAGGAAACAATTCCATTCACCACTGCAACAAAAAGAATAAAATACCTAGGAATAAACCTCCCTAAGGAGGTAAAAGACCTGTACTCAGAAAACTATAAGCCTCTGATGAAAGAAATCAAAGACGACACGAACAGATGGAGAGATATATCATGTTATTGGATTAGAAGAATCAATATTGTCAAAATGACTATACTCCCCAAAGCAATCTACAGATTCAGTGCAATCCCTATCTAATTACCAAGGGCATTTTTTAAAGAACTAGAACAAAAAATCTTAAAATTTGTATGGAGATACAAAAGACCCCAAATAGCCAAAGCAATCTTGAGGGAAAAAAACGGAGCTGGAGGAATCAGACTCCCTGATTTCACACTATACTACCAAGCTACTGTAATCAAGACAATATGGTACAATATGGCACAAAAACAGAAATATAGATCAATGGAACAGGATAGAAAGCCCAGAGATAAACCCACACACCTATAGTGAACTAATCTATGACAAAGGTGGCAAGGATATACAATGGAGAAAAGACAGCCTCTTCAATAAGTGGTGCTGGGAAAACTGGACAGCTACATTTAAAAGAATGAAATTAGAACACTCCCTAACACCATACACAAAAACAAACTCAAAATGGATTAAAGACCTAAATGTAAGACCGGACACTATAAAACTCTTAGAGGAAAACATAGGAAGAACACTCTTTGACATAAGTCACAGGAAGATCTTTTTTGACCCACCTCCTAGAGTAATGGAAATAAAAAAATAAATAAACAAATGGGACCTAATGAAATTTAAAAGCTTTTGCACAGCAAAGGAAACTATAAACAAGACAAAAAGACAAACCCTCAGAATGGGAGAAAATATTTGCAAACGAATCAATGGACAAAGGATTAATCTCCAAAATATGTAAACAGCTCATGCAGCTCAATGTTAAACAAACAAACAACCCAATCCAAAAACGGGCAGAAGACCTAAACAGACATTTCTCCAAAGAAGGCATACAGATGGCCAAGAGGCACATGAAAAGATGTACAACATCAGTAATTTTTAGAGAAATGTAAATCAAAACTACAATGAGGTATCACCTCACACCAGTCAGAATGGGCATCATCAGAAAATCTACAACAACAAATGCTGGAGAGGGTATGGAGAAAAGGGAACCCTCTTGCACTGTTGGTGGCAATGTAAATTGACCTAGCCACTATGGAGAACAGTATGGAGGTTCCTTAAAAAACTAAAAATAGAACTACCATACGACCCAGCAATCCCACTACTGGGCATATACCCTGAGAAAACCATAACTCAAAAAGAGTCATGCACCACAATGTTCACTGCAGCACTATTTTTTTTTTTTTTTTTTTGCGGTATGCGGGCCTCTCACTGTTGTGGCCTCTCCCGTTGCAGAGCACAGGCTCCGGACGCGCAGGCTCAGCAGCCATGGCTCATGGGCCCAGCCACTCCGCAGCATGTGGGATCTTCCCGGACCGGGGCACAAACCCGCGTCCCCTGCATCGGCAGGCAGACTCTCAACCACTGCACCACCAGGGAAGCCCTGCAGTACTATTTACAATAGCCAGGACATGGAAGCAACCTAAGTGTCCATCAACAGATGAATGGATAAAGAATATGTGGCACATAATACAATGGAATGTTACTCAGCCATAGAAAGAAACGAAATTGAGTTATTTGTAGTGAGGTAGATGGACCCAGAGTCTGTCATACAGAGTGAAGTAAGTCAGAAAGATACATACATACAAATACTGTATGCTAACACATATACATATAATCTAAAAAAAAAAAAAAGGTTCTGAAGAACCTAGGGGCAGGACAGGAATAAAGACGCAGATGTAGAGAATGGACTTGAGGACACAGGGTAGGGGAAGGGTAAGCTGGGACGAAGTGCGAGAGTAGCATGGACATATATACACTACCAAATGTAAAACAGATAGCTAGTGGGAAGCAGCCACATAGCACATGGAGATCAGCTCAGTGCTTTGTGATCACCTAGAGGGATGGGATAGGGAGGGTCGGAGGGAGACGTAAGAGGGAGGAGATATGGGGATATATGTATATGTATAGCTGATTCACTTTGTTATAAAGCAGAAACTAACACAGCACTGTAAAGCAATTTTACTCCAATAAAGATGTTAAAAAAAGAAAGGAAAAAGAAAAACTAAAAATAGAATTACCATATGAACCAGCAATCCCACTACTGGGCATATATCCAGAGAAAACCATAATTCAAAAAGACACACGCACCCCAATGTTCATTGCAGCACTATTTACAGTAGCCAGGTCATGGAAGCAACCTAAATGCCCATCGACAGACAAATGGATAAAGAAGTTGTGGTACATATATACAATGGAATATTACTCAGCCATAAAAAGGAATGAAATTGGGTCATTTGTAGAGATGTGGATGGACCTAGAGACTGTCATACAGAGTGAAGTAAGTCAGAAAGAGAAAAACAAATATCGTATATTAATGCATATATGTGGATTCTCGAAAAATGGTACAGATGAACCGGTTTGCAAGGCAGAAATAGAGACAGAGATGTAGAGAACAAACATATGGACACCAAGGGGGGCAAGTGGGGATGGGGGTTGGTGGCGGTGGGATGAATTGGGAGATTGCAATTGACATATATACACTCATATGTATAAAATGGATAACTAATAAGAACCTGCTGTATAAAAAATTCTTTTAAAGAACTAAGTACTGTACATAAACATAGTTGCATATATAATATAAATTTAAAAACTCAACATGCATTGTATGATCCTCGTTATGTAAAACTGTATGTTAATACACACAGAGATGTCTCAAAGAATGTCAACCACTGTTAACAGTTTAGTGAACTCTTAGTAATGGCATTTCAGGAGATTTAAAATTTTTCTTCTTTTTTTTTTTTTTTCAGTATGCGGGCCTCTCACTGTTGTGGCCTCTCCCGTTGCGGAGCACAGGCTCCGGACGCGCAGGCTCAGCGGCCATGGCTCACGGGCCCAGCTGCTCCGCGGCATGTGGGATCTTCCCGGACCGGGGCATGAACCCGTGTTCCCTGCATCGGCAGGCGGACTCTCAACCACTGCGCCACCAGGGAAGCCCAAAATTTTTCTTCTTTATATGCTTCTGTATAATCCTTTTAATTAGATCATTTTTACAACAAGAAAAACAAATTTTAAAACTGTGAAAAACTCAAGCACAAAAGATTTCTTTTTAAAAGGAGTTTTGATATTAGGTACCTTTAAGGCTCCTTTAAATATTATTCTTTCGAATGGTTCTAAGTAAGATCTTCGTAATTCAGAAGGAAATTATACCAAAATAAATTAGAATCCCTTTACATCACTCAAATCTGGAGATTTATTCATCTCTGACATGCACTCTTACCAAAATTACAAGGAAGCCATAGTAGACACTAAGAAATATAAAATACACTCAATACTTGACAGTACGATATAAATTTTCAACTGGTACCACTCATGGCAACACGTGAAATCTATATCTGCTTCCTCTAGCCCCAGAGTCCTCCTGGTAGTATTGGGTTGACCAAAAAGTTCGTTCGGGTTTTTCCGTAAGAAATATCCCAATATTTTACATAAATCTTACCTCTTCAAGCTTCTTTTCAATCTCCTTAAAGACAAGACTTGCCTTAAATCCATCAACTGCAGAGCTGGTTGGAGCAGCCTCAATTTGATGAGTTCTAAAAGAACTGGGGGAAAGAATCGATTTCAATCCACGGAGTCATATAGGTACTAGGTTTTTCAACATTTATACAGTAGTAATTTTCAAAAACCCTAACAGAGATGCTGTGCCTTTTACCCAAAGGAAACTGTTATTAAGCCAATAAAAGAATTAAGCTTTTCTTCCCATTTTTCAACAAATATTGCGTGCTCACTAGATGGTAGGCCTTGTCCTTGAAAATATACTAAACCAACGAACCTACCCTCATGAAGCTTCTAAGCCACTGGGGGAGACAATGAACACGCAAAAAATAAAGAATATAGTTACTATGAAGAAAATAAGGCAGATTAAGGAGATATAAAGAAAGTATATTTATGTGTGTTGGTCTATTTATTTTTTAAAGATTTATTTTATTATTTATTTAATTTACTTTTGTCTGCGTTGGGTCTTAGTTGCAGCACGCGGGGTCTTCTTTGAGGCGTGCGGGCTCTTTTGTTGCGGCATGCGGGTTATCTCTCTACTTGTGGCATACAGGCTCTGTAGTTATGGCATGTGGGTTCCAGAGCATGTGGGCTCTGCAGTTTGTAGCACACGGGCTCTCTAGTTGAGGCACGCGAGCTCAGTAGTTGTGGCGCAGGCTTAGTTGCCCCGCAGGCATGTGGGATCTTAGTTCCCTGATCAGGGATCGAACCGGTGTCCCCTGCATTGTAAGGCGGCTTCTTTAGACCCCAGGTGGTCTATTTTAGATAGCCTAGTCAGATAGGCCTCTCTGAGGAGGTGATATTTAAATTAGGTATTAAATTATGTAAATGAGCCAGCCATGTAAAGATTTAGGTGGAGAAGTCAGCTCTATACTTCCAGTACAAAGAACTTGATGTAGAAACTAGCTTAGCAGTTAAAGGAACTATAAGAAGGCCAGTATGGCTGGAGCAGAGCAGAGGAGAAGGACCTAAGGTCACAGAAACATGCAGGGCAAGATAACAAGGGGCTTTACAGGTCACAGTTAAGAGTTTGGATTTTATTTTAAGTACCTTGAGAACTGCAGGGTATAAGCTGGAGAGTAGCACAATCCATTTACATGTTTTAAAAAATAAATCTGGCTGCTAGCTGGAAAATGGACTATAAGAGGGCAAGTGAGGAGGCAGGGAGACCAATTAAGAGGCTACTGCAGTAGTCCAGGCAAGAGACGATGGTGATTAAACAGGGTATAATGAAGTGGGGAGTAAGCAGAGGTTGGACTCGAGATTTATTTTTTAGCTATGACACAAGATATGAATTTACTAACATCCGTCTATTGGTTGCTTGATACTTGGGGAACAACTATAGATAAATGGCCTGATGTGGCAGAAAGAACATAGTCCCTGTAGCTACAAAAGCCTGGGTTAGAATCTCAAGGCTTCCTCCACTCACTAGCTATGCGATTCTGAGCAAGCTACTTCATCTCTGTGCAACCTCTGGTAGGGAGGCAGGGAAGAAGGTGGAGGGTGCCGGTGACTTTGCAGAATTAAGTGGAATCCCGTGTGGAAGGTACCTAGCAGAGATCCTGGCCCATGGTAAAAAATGACAGCCACGACTATTACAGGCTGCAGAGCCTCAAGCATTAGATGCTGAGAGAAACTGAAAGGTCTGAAGAAGATGAGGGCACTTTAGGATTTTAAGTAATTCCTCTGAAATACCACATGCATCCTGGCGGTGGCTGAGGCCAGGACTGGAACAACAAACATCGGAAGGATATACCTGAAGGAGTCAAGAGCGTAGCAGCTGCTCAGTAAGCAAAGCATGTCTTTCCTTCTTTCTCTACCTCCTCTCCTTCCTTCTCTTTCTCCCCACCCACCCCACCCATTTCTCCTTTCCCTTCCCTTCCCTTTCCTTCTTTCTATCATTTCATAAATATTTAACGACTGCCTGCTACAGGCCAAGCATTGTTCGAGGTACTGGGAGTACAATGGCGAACAAGTCAGACCCAGTCCCAGTCCTCACTGAATCTATATTTTTCCAGGAAAAAAAGAAGAAAACAGACAAAATAATTACAAGTATTAGGAAGCAGACAAAAAGAGGAACCGAGGTTAAGGCAGTCAAGGAATGATGTCTCTGAGCAAGTGAATTTAAGCTAAGACCCAATTAAAGGAAGAAAAGGAGCTAGACATTCAAAGAGGAAACTTGCAAAGATCCTGAGAGAGAAAAGAGTTTAGCATGTTAAAAGAAAGTAAAAGAGGACCAGTCACTAGAGTACAGTAAGTGGGGGCAAAATGACACAAAATGAAATTGGGGAACTGGGCAGGGACCAGACCATCCAGGCCAAAGAAGGGATTTTGGGAAACCACTGAAATGATTAAACAGGGAAGTGAAATAGTTTGATTTGTGATTATTCTTACAACTGTGCAGACAATGAATTGGTGGGGTTGGGATGCAAGAACTTAGGTGGGGAGAGGGTTACGAGGCTGCTGGAGTGGTCCAAATAGGAAGTGGAGGCAGTCTGCCAGCGGAGATGGAGAGAAGGAAGTGGATTCAAAATATATTTTAAACATTGAATCCATAAGCCTTGCTGCTGGGCACGAGAGAGATCTAAGGGGGAGGGGAAAGAGCAAGGATGATTTAGGTGTTTGGCCTGAATAACTGAAGGGATGACAGTGCCATTTATTGACAAAAGGAAGAATGCAGTGAGAGTAAAGGGGATCAAAGTCCCATCTCAGGCACAGTCAGTATGGGACCTTTGTGAGACAAGAAGGCAGTTGGATATGACAGTCTGGAGCTCAGAAGCAGTCTAGGCTGGAGATAAAGTCGGATAATCATTAGCATAATGAAAGTATTTAAATCCATGGGAACAGACAAGCTCACCTTGAGGGAATTCTAGAGAAAGAAGTAAGCCTAGGACAATACCCTGTGGATCTCAATTATTTAGAAGTCTGGGAGGGAAGAGGAAGCAGTAGCCAGGGATGCAAGAGGAAAACTAGAAGAACATAATGTCATAGAAGCCAAGAGGGGAGAAAGAATCTGGGAGGGAGGGAGGGAGGGAGGAAACTATGTCAAATGCTGCCAAAGGTCAAATACCCACTGGACTGGCAACATGAAGAGTTCAGCTGACTTGGGCAAAAGCAATATTAAGCAAGTGTTGGAAGGCAGAAGTCAGTAGAGATTACAGTAAATTAAAGAGTGAATAGGAGAGGGAAATAGAAACAGTGTGTCTCTTTTGAGACATTACTTTCAGGGGAAATGGAGTGGTCTCTGGAGGGGAGGGTGGTATTAAGGAAAGTTTGTTTTTGTTTTAAGATTAACATATTAGAGCATGTTTGCTTGATGATGGTAATGAATCAGGGGAAAAGAGACAGAAGTCTTGAGAAGGTGAAGGGGGATGAGATCTAGTGACCTATGAAGGAAGAGGAGGAGACTCAAGGGAAGAAGAGGATCAGAAGGGTAGAATGCTAGATAGGTCTATAAGTCTTGGGATGGAAGATAAGGGAGTTTGGGTCTAATGACTTCTGTTTTTTCAACAACATACAAGGCAAAAGTAATCAGCTGAAAATGAGGGTGAAAGGAGGGTATGGAAAGTCTAAGAGGTTGAAAAGTGAACCTACTAGAGAAATCATATTAATATCACAACAAGGAATGGAAGTAAGCTCTCACCATGCTGAAATACATGCAATTCTCAGAGCATGGCATGCTACTTCATACTTCCATGCCTTTGCCCTTGCTGCTCCCTGTGTCTGGAATACCTCCGTCTTAGCAAATTCTATTTTACCCTTCAAGATCCAGGCCAGGAAACTCCCTTTCCGTGAAACCCTAGTAAATGTCAGCTTCTCAAGAGCAGATACCACAGCTTTTGAAAAAAATAATCTTTATTTATATCCCCAGTTCCTGACACACAATAGGTATTCAGTAAATAGTGACTGAATAGAACTGAATTACACTGAATTCTCTCTTAGCTAAATTCTAATTTTTTCCTGTTCCATTTAGAGCAGAATTATCTATGGTACACCATTTTCTCAGTCAAAAGTCTGAAGAGTGGCCTAAAATCAAGTGGCTACAACTAGTCCTCCACAAGCCAGTTTCATTTCATTAATAGTCCAACTTTTCAGCCTTTAATCATAAACATCACTGTGCCCTCTCCAAGCTTGACACTTCCTTACTGTATGTGATAAAATAATAACTGACACTTCTCAGCGTACATACAAAGTATCTTGATACTTTATGGGGCAGAGTTCAGACAAGTTCTGACAGGTCACAGATGTTTATTTTGCTTCTGTTGAAAAGTTCACTCAGTTAATGATTAACCAACTTTTCATCCAGATTAGGGAAAAAATTTATAAAGTTATATCAATATTTTCTGAAAATCCCTCATATCTTACAATTTATTTGATATGTGCCCTGCTCTAGGGAAGCTGAATATAACTTACACAAACTCAGAAAATAACTTACTCATATTACAAAAGGATGCACCTCATGATTTCTTTTTTTTTTTTTTTGAGATAGATTTGAAATTTTAGTAAAAGCTTTTTTGCCCACCCAAATCATATTCTTCTTTCTTTTTTTTTTTTTTAACATCTTTATTGGGGTATAATTGCTTTACAATGGTATGTTAGTTTCTGCTTTATAACAAACTCATGATTTCTTTATATTCGAAGTTCTTTTAGCAGAAACTAAAGTCTGATTATTTTTATTTTTTTTACCTTGGTTTATACATAAGTTTTCTGGAATAAATCTAGTATATAAAATGTTGGAAGGGACTCTGAAGATTAACTATTTAGTGTATGAATTCCCTCTATGCTTCCTGAAATTTTCATTCCAAGGTCTAGAACACAGGCACTGTTTCAACAACGTCAAAGATCAGAAGCACAGGGGCTTCCCTGGTGGCACAGTGGTTGATTGTCCGCCTGCCGATGCAGGGGACACGGGTTCGTGCCCCGGTCCGGGAAGATCCCACATGCCGCGGAGCAGCTGGGCCCGTGGGCCATGGCCGCTGAGCCTGCGCGTCCGGAGCCTGTGCTCCACAACTGGAGAGGCCACAGCAGTGAGAGGCCCGCGTACCGC